CCCCCCTTCCCCCCCCGCACCACCCACCCCATCCCCCACCCCACCCCCCCACCCCCCACCCCCCACCGATTAGAAACCCACCCCCCCCCAACCCCTACCACCAAACCCCCCAGCCCCCCCCTGCCCTACCCCACCCGCTGCCACCCGCCGATGAGACAACGATAAAGGGTCCAGTACACGCCCGCCCTCTCGCCCTTCCCGCCTCTCCCCACCCCCCCCTCTCACCCCCCCACCCCCCTTCGCTTCCCCCCCCCCCTCACCCACCCTCCCGCACTGCTCCCCTCCCTGTTTGTTCCCCGTGTTTTTTCCCGGGGCCTTCCCCCATCCCTGCCCTGACCGCAACCTCTTCCACTCCATTCCTCTGTCCGTCCCCCCCACCCCCCCGCCCCGCCCCCCGCCCCACCCACACCCCGCCCTGCCTCCACCCCCCCACGAGCCACGCCCCTCACATCCCGCACAGGCCTACCCTCTAAACCCCCCACCCCCCCCTGCCCTACCCCGCTGCCGACCCCCCCCTCCGCCAAGACCTCCCCTGGCGGATGGCAATCATTTACAGGGTCCAGTCACGCCCGCCTTTTTCGTTTTTTCCGCCCTTCCCGCCCTTCCCCCCCACCCCCCTCCCCCACCCCACCCCCCGCCCCCCTACCCACCCCACCCGCCCAACCCCCGCCGCCCCCTCCTCCCCATCCTGCAGGCCTTCCCTCTACCAGCTACTCCGCCCCTCATCCCTGCCCACTCCACCTCTCCTACCCTTTTTCCCTTCCCCCCCCCACTACCCTTCCCCTTCCCAACCATTCCACTCCTCCTGCCCTGCCCCTCTCCTCTCCCTCCCCACCCGTCCTCCTCCCCCCCGTCCCTGACCTCCCACCCCACACACACCCACCTCCTCAACCCCTCACATGCCACCTCCCCCCACCCCACCCCCACCCCCACCCCTACCCCAAACCCTCCCCCCCCCTCGCCTCGACCCTACCCTTCCCGCACTGGCCCCGCCACCCCCCCTCCCCAGCCCCCCTGCCCCTCCTCAATCCCTCACCTACTGCGTTCTCCAAACCCCCCCCCTCCGCCTATACCCCCCTCGCCGACACCCTCTACCCAACCATTCCACTCCCTTCCCCTGCCCCTCTTCCTCAGTACCCTTCCCCTTTCCAACCCCATCCCTTTACATATACCGTTTCAGAACTTAGAACCAAGGTTTACGGTTTCGGCGCTTAGAGCAGAGGCATTATCTCCCAGAGTTGAGCAGGAGAAGAAGGGGGGGGGGGGGGAAACGAAGGGATAGGGTTTGGGCAGCTTGGGCGTTTGCCTCCAAGGGGTCGGCGGCACTGGCGGTAGCCATTAAATTAAGTTCTCTTGTTTCTGTTGCTGCGCTATGATTCCAGTTAGTCTTGAACGACGATTACGATCATTGCTATGGTGTTATTGCTCTGTGAAGGCTTCTTACTGTGCGAAGGGCATTGGTGAATGGCCTGGACTCTGCAACCTGAAACCTTGAATGTCAAACCCTAGCAGGCCCTAGCAGCATAACGTCAATCACCTCGAACCCTATAGCTGTTTGCGACGCCTGCTTCGCCGAGGCTTCCAGGCTTGCGGACCTTAGCTGAGGGGTTCGGATTGTAGTGGTTTAGGGTTTAGGGTGTAGCAACCATGAAAACTATTATGACAAGAAGAACAAGAGTAAGCATTGTGATTACTCTTAAATGCTACCCCTCCACTCCTCCTCCTCCTCCTCCAGCAGTAGCAGTAGCAGTAGCCGTAGCAGTAGCAATAGCGATAGCAGTAGCAGTAGCAGTTTCAGTAGAACAAACCCAGGGGGATCCCTGAACAATAGTCCTAGCTTGTTTCCAGCTGGTTCTTACTTAAACTTGGACCCATCTTTCTAACAATCAAACCAACACTGTCACCACACTTCCTGAAACCAGGGAGCCTCATGTCTCAGTCACAGGCCAAAGAAGAGTTGATAACGCAAGAAACAACAACCTGCCTTCAAGAAAGTTGGGCTTGAGGCTACCCTCAACATCCCTGGACAGTAATCTTGAAATCCATGCGGCATTTTGTTTGCTGCTTGCTCATAATGCATCTGCAGCAAGGAGCCTTGGACGGGGCTTTGCATGTATATGCATTCTAAATGCTGTACTATGCGTACGGCGTACTGGTATACTAGATAAACAACAACACCCTTAAATCCTGTTCACTGTTCCTTACATCCTGCCTTGTGCCAACTCCGACCCGCGAAAACAACCAGAACATGAACATAGAAAGGCCCGATACTGCATCACACCATTGAACCCTGAAGTAATCAAAGGCTCTTTTGCAGGCCACAGCACTTTCCTTCACCTGCGATACTTGCGAGGCTAGAAGAACGGCAGTAACAATATGACACACGTACGAGCATTGTGGGGTTTCTGAAGAAGGGGTGCCGCTGGAAATCCTGCCCATATGTAAGATGCCGAACGCAGGGCTTGAAATTGCCCGTTCGTGTACTCGCTGTTGACAAAGCGGTTTCAGACTTTGGCTGCGTTGTAGACTCGTCTTAGCAACCCGGCCAGGATGCGGCAGCCAGGGGTTCTACCAGCTGCGGTGCTATTGAATGTCACTCGGCAGCCGGGCTTTTCTTGCTTAACTCACAATCAGGTTCAAGGGGTTTGGGTTTACGCATGGTTTACGCCAAAACAGGTCATGCACACTTCGACTGCCGGGGTCTTGTGCCAGTTACTATGATTCATAAAAATCAGACTAAGTCACATTTCAAGAAAGTTGGTAGAATAACATGTTTGATTTGATCGCACACGGTTTCATTGTTCGTACTCATCTTGTAGCGGCCCTGTCATTTTTAGCCAGCTGTCATCCCTGGTGAAACTGTTGAACGAGGATCCAGGTGAGTCTCTGACCACGTGCTCTTGGACGTCACTCGTGATGTCATCTCTATCTTCAAGCGCCGACAACCCAGGAGGGCCATCAAGTACAGCACTCGCATCTCTATCCGACGCCAACGACCTATTTCTGCCAGTGCCTGCATCGCTGGGGCATTGTCTTCCTGTCTACGCGTGTCTATGCCAAAGCTCACGCCAGGTTCTCCCCACTCTATGCTCCTCATTTCGTTTGCAACGTTGCCCATATTTAGTGATGCGTCTCGAGGGTTGGATTCACTCTGTCATTCGCTACCTGCTCGCTGCTTCCACTAGGCATGCCTATAGCCTCGCAATGCTCTCATATCCTTCTCGAAGAGTCATCGTCTGCAGCCGACCCAAGGGTTCCTGAATCTCGTTTCATCGCTCCCACCGCGGTGCATCCGGCCGCTGTGTCTCCAGTGCACAGGTTCATCTCCTTTTTGGGTTTAGGACTTGCCACAGCCCACATCTCGTTTAAAGCCAACATCTCCTTTTGGGCTCCTTTAGGCTGAAGTCGGGCTTGCCACAGCCAACATCTTTTTCTACAGGGTGCAGAATTTGCCACGCACCCAACTTCTCCTTGTCCTTTCTTCCTTCCTTCCTCCCTCCCTTCGTTCCTTCCTGCGTCCCCGATTCCTTCCTTCCTTCTGCCGATTTTGCTTTTTGTTTGATCCTCATTTGATATGTTTGTGAGCTGAGCTTTATATGACTAGTTTGGATACTTGTTTGATTTTCTTGATCCACATCCCTCGAAAATTCCAACCCCTCCACTATCACCTGTTACGGCTACTGTTGTGCCCAACAACCGGATTCACCAACCTGACCGTTCAAGCCATTTCAGTACAAACTTTCACTGAAAGGTCGACCTTCTGCCCATTCGTGCCACTTGACAACGAGGGCATTTCTCAAAATGTTACCAAGAAACCTAGAAAACTCTTTTTTCCAGGGACCCAAAATGAGGCCACTTATCGCGAGCGCATCGCTAGCGACGGTTCTTAACAACAAGTCATTACCCCGCCGGTGCAGCCATGTCGCGTACAGCTTGTTCAGAAAGTGGTCTAGGTGCATGGTATCCACATTGCACTTCTTTTCCAGATAATCCTCAGTATGTAGGATGGGAGGTGCACTAATTGCGTGTCTGACCGGCCGCTTCTGCCCTGTGGCATAATCCTTCGAAAGGAAATTCATGTTTGACTTCTTAATTCTTACAATTTCAGTCGAATGTCACAAACCTGTTCAAAGCCCGGCAGATCTCAACAACAACAACAACAACAATCACAACCACAACCACAACGACAAGCAGCAACAGCCAGCAACAGCAAACACAAGGAGACATGTGAAAGACAAATCAAGATGAAACCCAGCCACTCCAACACTAACACCAAAATCAACCCAGAAACAGCAGTGACCTGTACCAATTTGTCGCAGGTTCCATCTCCTCAACAATCTGGTGAATTTCGCCTTCGGTACGGGAACCACGCTTCTCCTCCGCTTGGGCTTGCAAGCCCTCAACCCTCAACCGAAGATGCTAAAGTTGAAGCCTTAAGCCCTTAGCAAGTAATGTTTGAGGCTTTTGGGGTATAGATTGGAGGAACGAGGGCCTAAGGCTCCCTGCATCATGTTATTCTGATCACGGCCGTTGCCCTCTTACCGCTTTAACTTTTGCTGATGTGGATAACGCGCGCAGGACCGCCATACACCCCTGCCCGTTAGCGACCTGGCGGATGGCCAAAAAGCGGTCGGAAGCTCGAAGCATCCTCAATTTAACCTGATCTCTAGCAACACATCTCAAATTCAACCCTCTGACACCGCGATCCCCCCGGTAACTCGCGCATTTGAGCCACTGAAGTCCGAGAATGTTCCCTCGTGGCCCTAGTCTCCTGCTGCTTGAGAAGCATCGCCTCATCCTCCGCCACGATGTCTGCATCTATTTCATCACCGCAGGTGGTTGCAACTTTTCAATAGCAGCTGCATCGCACAAAAGTCTCATGGTTCTTTGCTATCATTCTCACGAAACGCGATCCTGAAGGCTACTGCTGCGGTTGTAAGATTCTCAGCACAGAAGTAGCGGCAGCTGTGGTGGCAGCGATGGTGGTGGTCGTTGTGCTGGTAGCAGTACGATTAGTAGTCGCTGCCGTCGTGGTCGTCGTCGTCGTCGTCGTCACCGTCGTCGTCGTAGTAGTAGTAGTAGTAGTAGTAGTAGTAGTAGTAGTAGTAGTAGTAGTAGTAGTAGTAATAGTAGTAGTAGTAGTAGTAGTAGTAGTAGTAGTAGTAGTAGTAGTAGTGGTAGTAGTAGTAGTAGTAGTAGTAGTAGTAGTAGTAGTAGTAGTAGTAGGCTCCAAACTCGCGCGCAGGTTCTGCGCAACACCCACGAACCCACCCAAGAGTAGCGCTCCAGGGTGCACTGCCATGACGTGACCCGGAGTATTAGCAACACCAAGGTCATACTGACAGAACTGAAAGAGCTGAATCACAGCGGTAATGCTATTGATGACGCGACTAAAGACCCTAACTTCAGAAAGTTCACAAAACAACCCCAATACCAATGACAGTGGTCCCATGAGCACTATCAAGAAGCAACAACAGCAAACACGATAACGCCAGCCATGCTGATGACAAAGCGCGATAATACCCTAAACCCTACTCCCTAAACCCATAAACCCTGATAACCCTAGTACTTCAATGAGAACTCTGGCTTTGCGGGCCGCTTGCCTCCTCCAGGGCTGCGATGTACTTCTGGATCTCAGCATCCGAAAGCCTGGGTTTAGTTTTTGGGGCCTGTAGCTCAGTAAGCATATTTGGGCAATTACAACTCTTTATCTTATAGGATCTCTTTGCAGTGCGGCACCATACTCGGACCCAAAAAGGAGCATCAAAACGGAAGTTTTGCATCACTGGGCTAAGAAGCTGAACCTTTTCCAGAACTTGATTGGTCTCCTGGTCGAAGTCCTCCTTGACCTGGATCAATAGGGTTTATGCTAGAGTTTCGAGGGTTCGTCTCGGTGCGTCTCACGGTCAAATAGGTGGGTCAGCTTAAGCAAAACCAACAGGGCACATATTTAACTACACACATTGATGAGCCTGTTGTCGGGAGCCCAGAAAATGGACCCTTTTTTTGAGATGCTCCCATATACAGAGCATGCCACGCGGGGAAAGCAAACCTGAAAGTCCCAAAGCCCTGGAGTTTACAAAGCCTATACCCCACCTATACCCAAAACTCCCAAGCTTGAACCCTCCTGAATGACATGTCCTTCTGTTTAGTTTAGGAGACCCTAATCCCCGCAACTGGGAGGGTCAAAAAATAAGAAGGGGATGGTTCTACGGATTATAGCATCTATCGTTGCCTAGAACTAGGGGTCCCTGTCAGGGTTCAGGGTCTACAACCAGGGTTGCAAGATTTCGGGTATGGGTACCATGAGTGTTGAAGTGCGCAACAGCATTCGCAAGCTGACAGGCTTCCGTGTAAACTTATCTTAGGTGGCGATAGTGTTTCTTAAAGTAGAGTAGACTGAAGTACAAACTACCCTCTGACGCAACATAGTAAAGCGCGGAAAAGTACATACCACACAGTGCAGTGTAGTGAGGCATAGTAGCATCGCGCACTCTAAGTGGCAGCAGTGGTAGCGAACAACAATAGTGATAGCATGGCGCTGCACGGCATGTACAGTGCAGTTAAGTATGGAAACAGCGCAACTTCGTTGTGGGTCCGCAGGGCACATCCACCCAAACAAGGCCTGCGTGAGGATCCTTCCTACATGCGCTCGTGGAAAGTACGGACCTCAAAGCACATTCCCTAATCAGGGGTCCTCAATGATCCCCGATGAATTGCAAGGGAGATCATGATTTCTGAGTCCGGTTTCTTTTAGAATGCTAGGCAAAAAACATCTGCAAATCGGCACGGCTAAATTATTAACCCGACTTGTTGAACCAAGTACATGCTGAAAGCCAACTGGAAACAACAAACCGGAAAAAAAAAAAAAAAAAAAACAAACACCCTGAACCCTAAAACGAACAAACCGTAAACCCAAGAACTCTAAGCCCACCCCACCCCACCTGCTCTTCTGCCACCTCCAAACCGACAACCTTGACTTGAGCTGCATCTTCTTTGTCATAGTGGTCCATCTCGGCAATTTTCCTGAAGGAAGATATTACCATTACTCCGGCTCTGCCAGTGGTCACTGCCACTGCTGCTACTAACACCATTGCTACTGCCACTACTACTCGCGCTGTTTATACGAGTACTGCGGCGATTATGATGGTCATGCTGATTATTTTTGCTATCATCACCGCTCTTGTTCTCAATGTTTTACTAGCAATTCTCTTGATGTACTCCACCTCCGTTTTAAGATGATTCTTACGAGTAACTTGTCAAGTCTTGGGGGACTGGCAGGTTTTAAGGGGAGTGCCTTCTTCACAACAGGGGGGCGAGGCATGACAAGGCTTATAGGTCAGGGTTTAGGGCCTTTAGGGTCGAGGAGAGGGGCCAACGGATTTGACGGATTTGGGGTTTAGGTTTGAGGGATAGTAGGTGTTTAGGTGCCCGAGGGACATGTTTGGCACACGAGGAACTAATTCTTGTCAAGTCATGATTGCAAACTGGCTACAGCCGTAATCAGAATAAACCTCATGTTCATAACAAATATGCAAACAGCCTACAAACCAGCGAAAGCCCTGCTGGGGGTGCAGTGTAGGGATTTGAGTGTCCCTGTACAGGATCCACCGAAACGAAAGTCTTAACCCAGCATGGGCCTGAGGGGTATATAGTAAACATGTAGGAACTATGGGCGGTCCCTTTTGGGGTTCACACCCTACGTGGTACATCCTAACTCTTCGACTCGAGGGCCTGAGCCCCGAAGCATGGGTGTTCGCTTAGTCGAAACAAAAAACCACTCCTGTGCTTCAACCCTAAGCCCTTATTGTCCGGGCTTCTCCAACTCCAACGCCATTTCGGCCTTCAGGAGTTTGCGCCAGATTTCCTCCTGGCAGATCTGGGTTTTGGCTTTATAGGGCGCATTTTTGGGGCTGCTTGGGAGGAATCTGCCACGGCTGTTCCTTTGTTTAATCGTTGCTACTCGAATTGCAGCTTGGACCCACCCCCCCCTCCCCCCCTCCCCCCTCCCCCCAAATAATTTCCAACAGTTAGGGGTTCTGAATCGCGATGGCCTTATAATGAGGATTGTTTGTCGTATGTTGAGGCCCTGCAATGCAACCAATTCCAATTATTGATCCGCAATTATTGATCCCCCTCCACACTGAGAGGAGTTGGGGCCTGGCCCCCAACCCGCAGGTTTCGTTGTGATTCAGGGTGGCGTTTCGAGGGCGATACAAGCACTTCGCCAGAAGACCCATCTCATTTTCTGCTTTTCACACGATGCAACACCGGAATCTGCATCGCATCGCCGGCCTACTGTGTTTGCGTTGTCACACTGACGACTTACGACAACAACTGTTAGTACTGACTCTACTAACAACCTCTATACTTTAAACCCCTCTATTGGAATTGTTTGAGTTTTGTGAGGCTGCCCACGTCAGTGGAGCCTCTGCTACGATTGGTCGGCAGGTGCTCGACGAGACCCTGACTAGACTGGCGATCTGTGCAGATGGGCACCTTGCATAAACCCTAATGGCTTACAATCTGACCCCAGCATAAGCCTAGAAAACCTTAAGAAATTGTAGTGATCGAATGTGGAGCACCCGTGAAAATCCGTCCTTCTTCTCATCGCCAGCTGCTTCGGCCTGTCTATCGTGGTGACAGTTCAGTAGCAATGCTTTTGGGCCTTGGCACCCAGCCAAGGGAAAACTAAAAGCCTTCAAAAACCTACCAATATGCACCTTATGTAATCCCGGTCTTCAAAGATAGTTTGCCTAGCCTGGCTCTCAAATTGCTCCGTGCACCTATGCTCCCTAAAGAATTGGTGCTGCGTGCAGAAGGTCATCCCTAAGTGGGGTTGAGGGTCTAGGGTTCTCTCTCAAGTGGGCTTCTGGTAAATCCAAACAGCATCAAAGGTGGTAGATTTTGTGCGGTAGTTTCTCTGATAGGGCTTGGGCTGAAGAGGCCAGGGGCGGACTCGCTGCTTGCACTTTCGACTTGTGTACCTGTTGTGTTTAACTCTGCGACCAATCCGGCATGTGGGCGTTGTTGTCCAGGCTGCCAGCACTGTGAATAGGGTTACGACTACTATTTGAACATTTGAGTCATGTTGTCGCTTGATTACCATGATTATCCTGCTACTACCACAAACACTATTTCGTACTCTTGCCACTCCAGTTGCTTGCGATCTGTTCTTGAAACTTTTGCTTGTAAGCAGAGGCGCCTGACTCACCAGCTTCGTCAAACCTGCACTCACCACTCAAAAAGACACTATCATCACACCAGCAACACCAGCAACACCAGCAACACCAGCAACACCAGCAACACCAGCAACACCAGCAACACCAGCAACACCAGCAACACCAGCAACACGAGCAACACGAGCAACACGAGCAACACGAGCAACACGAGCAACACGAGCAACACGAGCAACACCAGCAACACCAGCAACACCAGCAACACCAGCAACACCAGCAGCCCCAGCAGCACCAGCACCAGCACCAGCACCAGCACCAGCACCACCACCACTTTTTCTTGTTGAACCTCAAACCGCGGGGTGAAGGGTTCACACCACAAAGGTTTCATAGCAAGCATCGTCCAAGGAGGGGGCCCTTTACACTTCGGGTTTAGGAGTTGGGGCTTGAAGTTTGGGGTTTAAGCCGATTAGGAGACAACCTGTACTCCAGGACAAGAAACAGGTGATCTTCTCCTTTCCGCTCTCTGGAAAGTGGAAATTGTCGCCGATCTCCGAGAGGGGAACCTTCATGGGGGCATCGACACATGTTAATGCTCTGTAAAAATCTCCTGTTTTCCTGTCCGTGTAGACAACCCAATAAAACCCCACAGTGCCTCTGGCTTCTATTGCTTTTGCGATTCTGCATGCAATCCCTCGTGTATCGCCCAATTTTCCATTGTATTTCCAGCCCCGAAACCCTCAACCCGCACTTCTAATCCCAAAACCTTAAACCTGAAGGTCGGGGATTTTAGGGCTGTATCCAGAGGCATGGTTGAGAAGCTCCCACGTGTCTCGGCACACTGTGAAGTGCACGGCTGTTTAGCGGCGGGAACACTACAAGTAGTAGCAGCGGCAGGTACAGTTGAACTCTTGCAGCTTGCGGTTACGCAAGAAGATAAAACTCCATCTGACGCCAGGGAAACTTGGGGGCCACAATACGTTTCAGCGATATTAGGTCTCAAACCACGGGCCAGGGTTGTGGGTTTAGAGACCCCAAACAAGGCCTGATAAAGGATTTCTCATATGCATGACCAATATCATTTTCAAAGCACGTTCACCATTCTGAGTGCCGCACGACCACCTGAACAGAAGAAGTATTAACGCGATTCTTGTTGCAAGCACGACCTGGATTCTAAGATGAGAGTACTTAGTTCTTCCCCCCATATAATAATTGAACTCAGCTGACGGAGCTGGTCTCCGGCCTTTCGAAGGCCCGAGGGCTCTCCCTCCTTCCCTTCGCACCCTTTTTGGCAGAACTGCGCCACAGTCCTTAGATACAAGTTTGGAGTTTTTTTGCAGTTTCCAAGAGACTCACTATGGCACATACTAGTTAAACCATACGCAGAAGCCCTGCCATACTTCAGTTCCGTGCTGATGGGGTATTAGGCTCTGGGCACTGCTTTCAGGATGAAGCCTTAAACACCAAGTGGTAGGCGGTTCAGGGCCATGTGAAGGTCCTTCAGGCCAGGGGGCGTTTGGGAATCACATATTCGGGCTCGAGGAGTTAGCGTCAATGGGTCCGGCGTATCTTCAAGGCTGTGGAATCTGGCGGGAATCTGGCGGCACTGCGCTCCTGAAACTTTGATGGTTCTGGCTCAGTGAACTGTTTGTGGCAAGGACAGCAATCTATTTCAAGATAATTGAAAAGCTGGCATTTCTCGAAACAAGCTTCCCTCATGTCTCCAACAATATTAATGCAACATCTGTTGTAGGAAACCAAAAGACGAGGGTCCATCTGTTGTACTTGACTCCGAGCGGGTGATCTACCCCGGGACAGATGCTCTCCCACGTGGCAAAGCATTTGTACTGCTCGAGGATCTTCGCACAGGACGTGTCGCTGCCTGCCGTCCTCGTTAAGCGTACAGAACACAAGCAAAATCTGCAAGTCTATGGTTCTGCTTTCTCGACTTAATCTGGGTTCCTTAGAAGCAGCCCAGTTGCGTCTGAACCTGACAGAAGCTCAGCGTAGCATGGATTGCTTCATTAGTCGAATTGGCATAGACCTTGTAGCCCCACACGCGGATGCGAAGCAAGATCACAAGGGCCACGAGGGTCGCTCCACGGTACGCCATGACGCAAAAGAGTCAGAGGCTGTGGAGTCACCCCGAGCCACTGAAGTTGAGCTGCAGGAGCAAACTTTCCAGCGCGCAACTTGCAGCAACATAACCCCAAACCACGCCGCAAATGCACAGTACAACGCATTTAGCTCCACGTATTGGCAAACGTGATGATTAGCCCCCCCGACCTCTTCTACCATATGCCATGCAAAGCTCTGCTGTACACGACAAGACCCTACACCCGAGGACCGTGCGCTGCAAAACACACCAGATACAAGTCTTGGCAGGTCATAGTACACCTTCCCTAAACTGAATAATGAACGTCGTTTTGGACATGTTGAGATTGCTATTGTGAGTACTGCCACAAGGTGTTATTTGTTGCTTTTTGCAGTTGTTTTTGTTATAACACACATGCATGACTGGATCTGGTGATCTCCGCCTCCACTGTACTGAAGCCCAACCCGACAAATCTCTGAAGTCAAACCTCAAAGTTTACAGTCCATATACCATATACTCTGACATACTACATTCCACTATAACAGGCAGTAATTATTCTGCAACCCGATCACCCTTTTGAAAAAGTAGCCTTTGGTACCCTTCTGAGCTGATGTCACATACGAACTTCGCAGCCACTTAGAGCACCCTGAAAACCCTACACCCTTAAACCATGTAGTCTTGGCATGTAATATTTCGTGTATAGTGTATACTCTTATATACACATATATACTAGATTATCTAACAGGAAAGAGCATTTTCGCAAAAGGAAACCCCCCACATCTCAGACAACTCCTTGGTCCCTGGCTCCGGGGTTCTTCGTTTTGTCCTTCAGGTTCTTTTGGCCTAGCCCCTAAAGCCGTCCTCCACACCTAAACCCACCACGACCCATGGGCCCAGCGTGAGCGCCTGACCGTCTCGGAATTGCTTCACGCTGGAAATTTGTGCTAGTGGTATGTGCTAATGGTGCGAAGGAAGGCTGAAAAAGGCTGAATCCGCAAGGGGGATGGAGGGGCCTCTCCGCAACATTGCTAACATTGGTAAATGACAGTACATTGGTGCTTTCTGGCTGGTGCAAACATGCCCGCCTGTGGGCGCAGCCATTTAACATAACTCGGTCTAGCGAAGCGGCTCACTTGGGCTAAGCATTGCGGCCCGAGTTCATGTCAAGAGCAGTAATTGCTGCGCCATGCTCTATGACTAGAGCCATTGGGTTTGTGACTTGGTGGGAGTAGGTTTCTGAGCCGCAGCCTCACTGGTCTGCATTTTAGTGCTTTGACCTCCTCGCCTGCGAACTTAATCGGAATATCCAAGCCATTTATGAGATACATTGAAATACTGCCAAATGTCCAGAACCTGCATTTTCTGGCCTTCTCCGTGCGTCGAGAAGGAAGAGATTGAGATAACCAACTAGGCCCTGAGCAAGCGATGTGCTCTAGGCCTGCATCTGCCATCTTGGCCAGAGAACTTTACATGAACTTCCAATTTGAAGGCTTCGAGGCTAGACTTGCAAACTTTATTTTAGACGCTGCCCGTCGCCCATCTTGGCCCTGCCGGCATGCACGCGCTTCTAGGAGGACGATTGCGGCTCGTGTGCGTGGACTGTGTCTGGGTGGGGGAGGAGGATGGCTGGAACAATAGATGTCGTTTCGGGCCGGATTCTCCAAGAAAGAAACAATAAAAATCATGCAACTGGTAAAACCTGCTTGCTTGCTGTCAACGAGTGCTGTGACCAGCCACTCGCGTGTTTCAAAGAGCAGCTGCCAGTACCTGAAGCTCGTGTGCATTGGAGATCCAGCGCGGTCCCTTTTGCGCAAGTGGCCATCGTCGCAGCCCAAGTCCACGCGTTCGCTAGGCTCTGCCAGCAGTTTTACCAATCCAACAAAAACACCGCTAAATGGTCTCAAGCTACATGCGTGAAACGGACAGATGCATTGAGCTTGCACAGTTTACGTACCATTGAGCGGCAAAGTTGCCTGCAGAAACCTCAGCGACCGTCGGTCACTTAGAGGTGTCGGCATTCGTATTCCAAGCTCTGCCCAGGGACCAGCCCAGGGCTAGCATGGATGAGACAAGACAAAGCTCCCAACTTCAGGCACGGGGTTTTGCTTGAGGCTGTTTTACAGGCCGATACTGCAAGAAGCTGACGACGTAGCTATACGAAGACTCTATGACGCTGATCTCCTGGAGAAGCACTGCAAATCATGCGACTGTGAGAGCTGGCTGCTTCGAATCTGCTTGTTTAGCTTTCAACGGGTGCTGTAACCACCCGCTCGGGTGTGTCAAAGAGCAACTCCCAGTACCGCAAGCTGGAGTTCGAGATCCAGTGCCATTCCTTTCGCGCCCGTGGCCGTCGTTGCAGCCCAAATCCCACGCGTTCGCTAGGCTCTGCCTGCAGTTTTACCCATAGTTTTGCCAGTACGCCACACATCCGCCTAAATGGCCCTAAACTACATGCGTGAAACGGTCAGATGCATTGAGCTTGCACAGTTTACGTACCATTTAGCGGCAAAGTTGCCTGCAGAAACCTCAGCGACCGTCGGTCACTTAGAGGTGGCAGTACAATAATTTGGTGCAGGTGCACATACTGGCGTCAGACAGTACACAACATCGCACGGTGGCAGTCGCAACAACATAACGTTGCAGTCCGTCTCAAGAAGACAGAATCCCTATGTACCTAATAATCCTTAATTCCTCCTTGACCCTAAGGTTGTCTACAAGCCCCACACCCATGCGTCTTCTGCGAGAAAGCCTCAATTCGTGACTTGCCGGCTTGTCCCTCGCATGAAGGGCATCTGCAAGTGCAGCACCGACTTCATTATCGCGTCCACCTCAGTCGTCGGGCTCCGAATGGGCTACTGTTTGGGTTTAGGGTTTAGGGTTAGGGTCGGGCAAACACTTGACACAGGAGGCAAGTGGCTTTGGTCTCCAGGCGGAAGACGTCCTCGGCTCTCTGGGCTTGAGGTTGTGGGCTCAAAACACTTTCACCTCAATGCAAGCGTGTTCGGAATAAGGCCGAGTAGCCTCCTTTGCTGAGGGTCTTTATGGGGGAACCTCTACCCACAAAAGGGTACCACTGAGGGCGCATCCTTAGGTGAAAGCTTGTTAGAGGTTGGGGAAAGCTTGGGCGATGAAAACCTTACCTTCTCCCCGACCCGGCCCCTTAACCACTAAGGGTTCAGGATTTTCGGGATTACGGCGTAGGGCTGAATCTAAACGCCGGAACCCCCAAAAAATCTCAACCCCTTAGCTTCGGATGTGCCCACGGCATCGCCAAGCTCTTACGCTCATACCCCCACCCCTAAGCCCTAAACCCTCAAACCCTAAACCCTCACGTCCCTAAACCCTAACGGAACCCTAGGCCCTCGTAACCCGAAAGAGAGGGAGGGGGGGGGGGGGAATGTTAATTCTTATTGATAGTTTCATAGCATTCATAGAATTTTTGTTAGAACTCATCGAAATCATAGTATTCATGGTATTCCTCGTATTCGTAGCAGAAAAGAAGTGGGTTTCTTAAGAACTGAGAAAATTACGGTAGCCTTAGATTACAACCGAGCTCGGATCAACGCCTTCAAACACGCTAGGCCCTGAAACTCTAGCTGCCTCACAAAATCTCTTCGCCTGAAAGCCCCACATGACCCGAAACCCTAACCCTAAACCCCTCGAAGCCCCTCTCAAGCTTCAATCCCCAAAGCCCTCAAAATGCTAAAAACCCGTCAAACCTCTGCCGAGGCTCCATGCTCTTGGCCTGCCCTTTAAGTCGGACCGCCCCATCCATGAACTCTTTCCAGTCGATTCGCCCTGGGTTGGAAGGGTTTAGGCTTTAGGGTTGCTTGAGGGCTTTTAGAGTCTTGTTCAGGGTCTGTAGGGCTGACGGGGTTTATCTGTAGGGCTGCAGCGCATGCAGGTTTTAAGTTTTGTCATGTCTTGATGCTTTGTGCTTGTTGTTTTTTGCGTCACGTTAGGGTTGGGGTTTTCGGGTTTCCAGGGTTGATAGGGTCGGTTTACCTTTAAGACCTACAGGGTTGATAGTGTCTACTGTACAGGGTTTGAAAAGGGTTTGGGGCGACGAGCTGAAGAGAAGCACGCTTAGGGGTTCAGAGGGTTCAGGCAGGAAGCCCTGATAAAGAAATCCTCAGGTTCGTTGCTGCGCCGAAACGAAAGCACATGACCGATCGTGTGCGCTGACCCACCCATGGCTGCTTCCCAGACAACCGATTCATCTACCATACCTGCTGCACGTCGGCAAGTTATGAGCCCCAACCCTGCAACTTTCTCTCGAATAGACTTTGTTATCTGGTAAGATTCGCGGAGAATCGACATTCGATGTGCTGCTATCAAAGTCCAAAGACCGTACTGCCGTACTGCTTCTGTTTTGTTGATGTGTCGTGGCTAACTTAGATATGAAGCACCCAGGTCAGTTTTCTTAAGGTGCTTTTGCAGAATCACCACGTCTGTACACCTTTACTCGCACAAAGGCTCCGCAACTGTGTCAGGGTCGAGACAGAAAGCCTACGAACCCCCATAAAACCCCAAGTGCGACGAAGGCTCGGAGATCCCCGGCCCCCCCCTCCCCCTCCGCCCGCCCCGCCCCCCGCCCCACTGACGTGCAGACGAAGCCTAAAGCCCTAACCCTAAAACCCGAAAACCCTACACCACTACAAGGACCCTGAAAAAAGCACGGCAACCCACAACCTGCGCCCTGCAGGGACATGGCACCGTCGCCCGAATCGATCATGCCGAAGAGCTCCACCTGAGCGTGTTGTTAAGGTTTCAGGGTGGCTCAGAAGCCCTGAACCCAAACCTGAAGAGTCCTAGGCTTCAGTTTTTAGGGGGGTTGCAGAGTTTGGTGTTCGCCCTTGGCGGCGTCTAGTGTTTTCGAGCGTAGGGAATATATGAGATTTCAAATCTACGGCAGCAGCCTAAACCCAAAACACTACTTCCCTACCTCTTGTACACCTTTTGTCCGGCCGCGAGGTCGTGATACTCGAGCTGAAGCTGGCTGAGCCAGAGCCTGCGGCGCCGTCAGGGTTTTTTGGGGGGGGGGGGGGGGGGGGGGGGGGGGGGGGGGGGGGGGGGGGTTAATAGGTTAGGGTTTACGGGGTTTAAGGTTTTTACTCAGCTGCCAAGTTATAAGGCCGATTCGGTTGGGGGGGAGGTATGAGGACTTCAGTCTGACAGGCTTCATAGGGTCTGAAATTCATGGGTAGTTTTCTAGTAGTTTTCAATGGGGTTAGAAGTGGGGCAACTGCAGCCTTCCTTTTTCAACCTTGTTGAGGAGATGACCTGTCGAGTCTTGGAAATTCTCGGGGTTCAGGACTTTAGGGCTTCGGGTTGAGTTGTTTTGTATTGTTGTTTTGTGCGGAGGGTGGGGGGGGGGGGGGGGGCGGCAGGGCTGGGAGGTTTTGGTTGTGAGAAGTGTACTCTTCGGATTTATACTTTTTTTATTTATCGCCACAACCCTCAAGCCAAAAAGCCCCTGGGCCGTAAAGACTACTGCAGGGGAAGCCCTGCGCCTTTCGGACCAAAGGGATCCTAAAATTAGGACCATACACCCCATATAGCTCTAAGCCCCTATGAAGGTACAAAAACTATGGACCAAGACAGTGTTTCAGTTTGGGGCTTAGGGTTTAGGGTTTCAGGCTTACGGTTCACCATAGGGTTGATATCTTCCCTAGGCGCACGATAAGCCGTTCAAGAGTGCACCGGTAGGCTGCAACTGTGGATTTGACAGCAGCTGCATGAACTCCTCCTTGGCAAAGGAGGGCTCATTAGGTTCTTAGGGTTTAGCGGTTAAGATCTTAATAGTTTAGTTCGTTTATCAGGCGTGTTATATAGCTTGGACGTTCCTTCGCAGCGGCTGGAAACCTATGCACCCTGGTGGCGCATTGGATGGGTTGGAGGTGAAAACCTCCCTTTGTCCCCAAAACCAGTGGGGAGGTGGGGGAGGGCGGGGTTACCCCGGCAGCTTCTTGTATGGATGATGGAAGCCGATTTAGTCAGATTTTGATTCTTGTTGTGTTTGTTATGGCCAGAGCTGAAGAAAACGTAAGGAAGGCTACTGGGACACTCACTCCTTTTTGAACAAGACATTCACCCATAACAAAGAAAATCCACTACACGTTTGTTCTTCGGTGCAAAAGAAAGAAACTCCCTTCAAAAGAGACGATTGTTTTACTGGACGATCCTCCATGGCTTTGCTGTTCTTGATGCTGCAGAAGACCATCTTTTTTCACCTCCTTCCATCTCTTGAAAACAACCCCTCCCCCGAATTTGAGGAGTCACATCACGATTCAAAGGAAATCAGGACGTTTTTTTATGTCGACAACTTCTGCTATGGTTGCTGATCAGCAAAACACTCTTCTTGAGGCAGGCGACAAGCACGATGGCTTGTGAACATTGACTAATTCTTCTTGTACTTGATTAGGCAGCCCCCCAAAAAAGAAACGTACTGTACCCCATTTCACAGCCATTTCACGAAACAAGTCCATTTGTTGAGAATGCCCCTCCCTTCGAGAGACCCACCTTCAGATAAGAAGTGCGAGCATTTCTATCTCACAGGAAAGACTGGAATAGCACACAAAAACACCTCTATGAATTCTTGCTTTAGTGAAAAACGAGAGCCTGTGCTAAAGATAAATCTGGGCAACAAGTGTGAACGAAGTGTGAACACTTTGCACATCTGCTTGCCTGCACCATCAGTCGACTCCTAACGACTCTAGCTCTTTCGTCGTCTGTAGTTTTGGTGATATTCAGTGTCCCTCCCTCCAGTATTTTAGGTTTTGGACTCATGAAATGTGGATGCATGAGGGTGGTTCTTGTCGCATATGATGTATATATATATGTATGTATATGCCTCTCCCCCTACAAGACCTACGTTTGAGCATTGTTGATTGATTTTGCAAGGGTGAGACAGGAGAGCCGGACTCCTAAACGCCCAATGTTTCACCAACCAAAGATTTCAGATTGTCGTTCTTCGAGCCGACTAGAGCTTCGTGACCCTGAGGGGTCGTTATTATCGAGCTGGCTATATAGCCGGCACAAAATCAAATTACCAGAACTTCTGAAACCACTACCGTTGAGATAGTGTATACAACATAGTTACATTATCGAACTACTACATTTAAACTTATTGAGTAAACGCAACCTAGCTTTAACATAGTCTAAGAACAACTCACAAAGCTACTGTAATTTCAAAAACAGAGTAAATACAATTCTCATAATAAATCCGCGAGCCCAACTAATAAATTCAGATTTAAAGGGTCAGAGATATTCCATGACGAGTTTACTTCACATATCGAATATAGTTTTTGGCAACTGGTGCAATGAATACAGTGATTTCAAGTAGTACATTAAGAATAACTGACACAATTCATATAGATGATACAGTTTTACGCCATATATCTAATCGCATTCTCAGTGAATGATGTGTGACAAAATAGCCATCGTATCAATGGCATTAGCACAAGCATGCATCAGCTATAGTCAGTATACGCATTTGATTTTTATATCCGCTGTTATATGCATTGCACAATACTTCAAAGCATAAGCCCTTAACCTTAAAGACACTAAGCCGATATACCCCTGTCAGCCTTATGTTTCCCTATACGCCCTACAACCCCCTGTAAATCCTGAAAGCTTCGATCCCCGCCACCCCTCTCATAAGTAGCCCAAGGCACGATGGTCAGAAAGCCGTCGTCCGTTGTGTCAGCTGCTTTGAAAAGGGCATGGAGCTTTTTGCGATACTGTGCTTCATTCCGCCTGAGAGGGAGGGGCGTCGGGTCTGAAGCCTGGCTCCCTAAGGGCAGCTACATGGTCCCTTTGTGTGAGTCCTTAGTTGGGGAACCCATGTATACCCCGTATGTACCCTTCAAAGCCAAGGGCCCATACTTCAGAACGAGAAGGCAAGGAACCATATTCAGGGCCATGTAACTACCCTCAGAGGCTCTCTAAACCCTGAGATACCCCAAAGGGCTCCAACTGGCTAAGGAAGGTCCGAGAAGTAAACATGAAGTGCGCTCGAGACCGAAGGAGGGAGTGCTTAGGCAGCTTCAGATCTGCATGGGGCTGTTCCAGTTTGGGGAATTTCGTGCCAGTAGCATTGATCACCGACCCACACATTATCTGAACAGGGACCCTGCACGGTTGCTAGCTCGAAAGAACCGCCCCATATAGGCATGATTTGACCGAGATTAGGGTCTTGTGTAATGTTGTACTGCTTTTAGTATATCCAAGGTCTATAATCACGAAAATTTATTCTGCAACATGAGTTTGTTGAGGGCCTTGGGCTCCAGGAATCTTAAAGAGCCAGAGCCCGGCCAGAGTCCATGTAAAGCCTTATGGAATTTGACTAGGAAACGATGCCCCAAACAAATTTTGTGATAGGTCCGATAGGTAGTCCACGGGCCAGCCCGACGCATTTCAGTAAATTTGTTGCGTCACCCTCTATGACTCTATGATACACATTTTTTGCCGATGATTGTTCGTTTTGGAAAGGGCTTGTGCTTAGGGTTGAGGGCTTACGCAATAAGGCTGGAGGCCCTAAGGTCTTTGGGCTTCAGGAATCTTGAAGGCTGGAAAGCTTCAGGAGGCCCCCCTGAGGGCGGTTCCACCTCCCCCTCCCCCCTCCCAATTTGTTATTTGTTGGGGGGGGGGGGGGGGGGGGGGTCGCCGCGACATGCGTTGAAAGAGAGCCCAATTTATTATTTCTGTTTTTTTTGTGGGGGGGGGGTGCTTATTCAAGGCGGCGCAACAAAAATTACCGGTTTGGGGATTGGAGGCAGGGTTTATGGTGAGGGGATGAAGCATGATGCGAATCAGTGTAGGACCAAAGGGGTGCTGAAGCCTTGCGCTGTAAAGTTTCCGAGTGAAACTGATTACGCCCTAAGCGTCCTAAGCCCCAAACACGATTGAACCCCAAACCCTCAGCACCGTAGGCATCCCAATATCCCAGCTTGTTCAAAGATCTTTGATGGGCGGTCAAAGCTACTCATAAAGGCCTGTTAAAGCCTGTTAGGAACTACTGAGGCTTATCATTCAGCCGCGGTTAAGGCTTTCGGCTGGGGTCAACAAAGCGCTGCCCAACCACGCCCGGACTTTGATCAAGTATTCTTCGTCTGAGTCGGCGATCTTCAGCCTTGGGCGTCAGGCGCGCCGCTCGACGACTTTTTCAGTATGCTCATATGGCAGAGCGCTTACAAGGTTTAGGGAGTTTAGGGTTTAGGGCTACAGTTCTGGTTCTAGAGGTCACAGGGAGTGCATAGGAACCTGAACGGCCTTAATTCTGCTTCACCGGGGTGGCCAGCCATTTCAAGGAAGGGCTACAGCTGCCTATGAACAGACCGCACCGCCGAAGCATAAGCCCAACAATTTGAAAGCATGTGGGAAGCTCTATACTAATGTCCCTTTTGGGCCGTTTGGTGACGGCGCCTTATAGAAAGGGTGCACAAAGAGTGCCTATAATCTAGAGACTCCCCCTTGTAAGAACACAGAAACCTTTCGCAATCGACCACCCTCGTCAAATCGGGGACGAGGTCTACACTTTCTCTGTGCGACAATCACATGCAAAAGATTTGGGTGCAGGATGGTGTAGGTTATATAGCGCGTACTTCAGTGTGATGAAGCCGAGTGCTTTCTTCAACGCCCAACCACTTTAAGGCAAGAAGCATGAACATCAATATCCAAAACCCTAAATCCAAAACTCTCTGAAGCCCGATGAACCCGTAAAATTCCTGAATTCTGAACTTCTGAAGCCGAAATCCAAAGAGGCTTTCTCTTGCCCTCTGTGGGAGATCTGTTGGCGACAGGGAGGTGCCCAAAACCACAGGAAGCACCATCCGGGCGCTAGGATTGTCGGGGCCCAGAAAGTCCGAAGAAGCTGTAGAACTGATTAGCTACTAGGGTTGTGGGTTCACTGGTGGGGGCCCCTTAGGAATTGAAACTTCAATGGGGTTAGGGCCCAGTGAACTTTAAATGCACTCCAAAGCAAAGCCAGTTAAGCCGAGCAGCGTCTGAGAGACGAACACACTGCTCACGACGTTGAGCAGCGCGAAGCCCACGACACACCTCCGCTGAGGGTTGTTTAAATATTTAGGGTCGATGAAGGGTTGAGGGTGTTGGGCAGACTGTGTGTAGGTGGCTATGGCCAATTGACAACTACAAACTAATGTGTCTGTGCTTCCGCTACTAGGTCCACTACCCCAAAAAACATAATATTCAAACATAGCATAGCTACAGTAGTTTGCGACGGTCTTGACTCTTTGCACCACTATGCTGGCCATTGCTGCTATGTTTTTTGCTCGGAAAACAAGCAAAGGGGCCTTCCTAATCTCTAACCCTATCAGCCCTCTCAAGCCCTCTAAACCCTTTAACCCTGATGTTAAACCAGCTACCGATGTACGAGGAGTTCAGTCCCGTTTGCCACTCCGCAGCTCGGGATTTGTTTTAAAACGACCCGAGACTTGTTTTAACACGTGGCCGGCAGCCTTTGTGGCGTAGCCATCGCCGAAACCCGAATCCCTAAACCGTAATAAACCTCCCTAATTCCCAGGCCCGAAACCCTAGTAGCCTGGAGGGCAGGAATCCTTTCGCTCACAGAAGCGGCTCCCTCAAATCTGAGCCCTGGAAAACTTGAAGCAGATGTGGCTTAGGTTTTTAGGGTTAGTGGTTAGGGGCTGTAGAGTTTAGGGTTTAGGAAAGCATTCAGGGGAACAAACTTCGGCAGTCAAGCTCCGAGCCAACTCCGAGGGAAATTCACGAGGGGTCACCAAAAAGATGGACGTGCTCCCAGGACTTTGCTGCTCCCTAAACCCTAACCACTAAACCGTGAAAAAGTGTAGGGTTTTGTTTTTTCGTGCCACTGTGAGCCTGGCAACTTCGAGAGCTTGAAGAGATTCCGGGTTTAAAGGTTTAGGGTTCGGTTGGAGCGTAGCAACAGCACATGAATGCTATCCTTGCCCTCCGACGGAAGAATGGTAAGTTCTGAAACTTGTGAACCATCTTCAAACCTTCTCACTATCGTATACAAACTTAAACTCCGAACCCTAGGGGTGCCGGCCTGTAGCCCACAAAGACCACAGTGAACCATTCGCTCACGTAGTCCGTCAGAGATCGACAGGCCGGAGCCCAGTTCGCGAAGAGAACCTGCAAAAAGACTCATCATCATCGACGAAGCACCCTGACACGGAGTACCACATCTGGATAAAACACGCGAAGAACGTGCAAAAAATCGCAGCGTAGTAAACTGTAGTGAACCTGCAAACAGAGACAAAGTTGGACTGCAGCATGAGCAAGAAGCACCCCCTACCTGGCAGCACAGCCAAGAACCTGCAAAAAAACGCTTATCGTTGATGTGGTACCGTGACAAGCTCGTGTCTTTCTATTTCCAAAACATGCATATGCACACAAACCAGGCAATGCAGACGCAGATCTTCTGTAGATGGATTGAATCGGCAGGTGTCGTGTCATGCACCGCTCACCCCGCACTACACAAAAGGGTAGGCGAGAGGGCGTGCACTTCCACCGATTAGGCGGTGTGGGTGGGTGCGAAAGATAGGAGGTGTCACGACTGCGGTGACTGCGGCATTCGCTCGCAAAGTGCCACTGCATGCACGCGCACTTCATGACGCGGAGTACCACAAAAAAGGGAACATCGCAACAAATGATCATCATCATCGATGTGGCACTCTGAACTTGCTCAGAAATAACATGTACGAAAACTGTCCGTGCAATAACAATGACAAAGACAATGGCAATGGCAACGAATGAAAAATCACAGAAACAACATTATGGGCAATAACGCGAATGATGATAGCAATAAAACAGTAGCATCATGATTCGCGATAGCTGCCTGAGAGAGTGCCGCAAGCAGATTCAAGCCGCAAAAATAGTACAGCATAACAACATCATACCATCATATTAGCATACGATATTGTGTTACTTCACTAGTATACTATTCGAATAATGTACGTATTCTGACAGTAGGGATCTTTTAACTTTTAAGTGAGCATGTTGGTATGCTATTCCGTGTTTCCTATTGTATCGCTATTCATATACTAGTATCTCATTAAGACGGTTCATGTTATGGGATTATTCCAGAAATTTTGTTATGTATTATTGTGCTACTCAGTTATTAGCTTGCAAGGCACAATTTTGCACATGTCAAGTAAGTCACATACAACACTTGCATTCCAATGGGGCATGTGGGGTCTGGGGTTGATTGGGCCAGATAGCTTCTGTCGGCTTTATAGGGTTCAGTCTAATTTCTATGAGTAACTTCCAGTTGCAACGCCCTAAACTTGTGGGGCTTGTTCGGGGTTTTGGTTTAGGGTTTGGTAGTTCCGAGTGTAGGGTCGTTGCTTCCCCACCCCGCAGCTCCAGCTGTCCTCGAACATGGTCAAGAAAGTTCGGGTGAAGGTACCCCAGTACTGGAAGACATACCTGGGTTTAGGGTGTAGGGTTTGGGGTTTGGGATCCAAGCTGGCTTGAGTTCGCACCCTGAGAAACCTATAAATCCCAACCTTCGACTCCTTCGAGCCTAAACCCCCGTTCCCCCAAGGGCAGCCTAAATCCTACGATTCTGTAGTCTCTAGGGTTCCTTCTCAGGAACCGTCCTTTAGCATCCTCTAGCTTCTCTGAATATCTCAGGCCAAATCTCCACGAGTCACATGCTGGTAGCTCCTGGGTTTACATGCCGACCGCTGTGAAGTAGACCTCAAACCCTGTTTCGGATCGAGGGCGAAGAGCCCTCCACTCCAAACCCTTCAGGGCTCCTCAGCAATGAGGGGTCAAGTCGAATGCGCTTTTCTGCTGCTGGCACGCCTCCTTGCCTCTTTGTCGATGGCAGGGTCTTCCAAGTACCGGGAGACGAGGGTGCTGATGATCATGCCTCTGGGATTCCGGGCTTGTCTCTTGTTTTTGTTGGTTTAGGATTTGGGGTTGAGGTCGAGGGTTTGGGCACAGCCATCGCCCATTGCTACACACGCACACAGTTGCGGAGCTAGCAAAGGAAAGGGACTCTGGACATAGTTCTGTAACCAGATTGGTTGAGATTCAGGGTATTCAGGGTTTTCGAGGTTAAGGTTTTAGGGTTCAGGGTTTCGGGGAACAACAAGCCGATTTCCTGCAGAGCAAGGTCTTCCAGTATACTCAAAATCTTCACCAACCTCACTATAGCCGCTAGGGGAGCCTAGCTCCTCTGTGCGTCATGGATCTACACGTCGGGAAAACCCTACAACCCCGAAGACCAAACGAAACCAAAACCCTTGACGACCCCCACCACACTAAATCCGACGCAAGCCTAAACCCCCAGGCCCAAAAAGCCCTAAACCCGACCCTAAGTCCAAAGAAATAAAACCAGGGTGCGCTTTTCTGTGAGGAATTGGTACCTGCTTTATACAGGAGCCTAAGCTAGAAAAGAAAAGGGCATCAAGGCCCAACCCCACATCCTGCACCTCAAGCCCTTGTGCAGCCCTAAGTTCTGGACTCCCAGCCCTAGATGCCGAAACTACGCAGCGTTTCGGGTTGAGGGTTCAGGTTTTCGGGGAGTTTAGGATCCAGGCTTTAGGGTTGTCCTGGGCCGGACAAGCAAAACAACATCAAGACTCTCAGGCCCCATTTACAACCACAAGTTAGTCTTCCGCCACTATAACCCCTACTTCTAGAAGCAGTTTTTGGAGACCCCTCAGCCCTAAACCCCAAAACCCTAAACCGGGTCGCCGCAGACGCACTGCACGAAGATCAGCACGCCGGTGGCGTACCCCAGCATGGTCACGCTGGCCACCACGCACTTCAACAGGAGACCAAAAGACTCCAGCTTGCCTCAAGAGGGGTGTACGGATGTCGTAGGGGTTAGGGCTTGATGGTTTGGGGTTAAATAGGGTTTATATAGAGTTTAGGGATTATAGGGATTCGCCCAGCTGTGCAACCCAGCAGCCAACAAGAAAAAGATGATCAAGGACCAATACGGAAACGCTGGTAAGAGTGTTTTTTTTTGCTGCGGGTGCTTTTTTGTTGCGGGTGCGGGCCGGGGCGCGTTTTTTTTTTGCTGCGGGTGCGGAGTGTTTTTGCTGTTTTCTCTATATATTTACTATGAAAACCTCTATTTTCTCTTATTTTCAATATAGGAAAACCTCTTTCTTCTCTATATTTGAATATGCGAACCTCTATTTTCTCTGCATTCAGTATGAAAACCTCTAGTTTTTCTAATTTCTCTATACGTTAATGCGAAAACCTCTATTTCTCTATGTTTCATAACGAAAACCTCTATTTCTCTCTATTTTTGTCTATATCGTCATAGTTTTCCTCTATATTTAATGAGGAAGACATGAGAGAGGAATACATGAGAAACCAATTCTCTGTGTTATCGCAATATGTGACTTGCAATTAAAAGTGTTTTTGTTCCTCTTGTCCTATTTTAATAGGAAGCCCATTATTTTCTCTGTCTCTGAATAGGCAAACCTCCATTTTCTTAAAATTTGAACATGAAAACCTCTATTCTCTATATTTGAATATCAAGACCTCTACATTGTAATATGAAAACACTTTGTATTTTCGCTATATTTTCGTATGAAAGCCTCTATTTCCTCTATGTGGTCATAGGAAACCTCTAATTTCTCTATATTGTATAGCGAAAACCTCTATTGTTCTACAGTTTACTATTTTGTCAGTATTTTCAGACTTCTTCTCTTTCTTTCACGAGGAAGACATGAGAGAGGAATACATGAAAAGCTAATTCTCTATATTGTCATAAGAGTAAATGCATTATCTCTATCTGTGACTCGTAGACAACAAGTGTTTTTGTTCATGTCTCATAACACAAGCTCTATTTTCTCGATTCTTTACTAAGAAGACGTTTATATCTCTATATTTAAACGGAAAATTCAACTTCCACTATAAGGTCTGAATTTTCGTAGGAAAGCAAGCATATATTCCCTCTTTTTTCAGGGGGGTTGGGGGCTGCGCAGACCGCCGCATTTGAAAACACAATGCTCGCATCATGGCTTTTTTTTCTGCTGCGGGTGCGGAGGCGCGTTTTTTTTTTGCTGCGGGTGCGGGGGCGACACGCGCCAGGTCACTCACTCGCCGGGGCGGCCCCCGAAAAAAGCACCCACAGCAAAAAAGCACCCACAACAAAAAAAAGCACGGGTTCCCGGAAACGCTCTGGCGCCTCTCCCTTCTGGATGCTCTTACTTGTTCCGTTCCGGCTGCTCTGGAGTCTCAGCCACCCCCCCCTTCCCCCCGCCTCTAGAGACAGAAACCCAGCCTTCAAATCTAGGTTCAGGGTTATCAGGGTTGCCCTACATTTAGGGCTTCGGGACAGAAACCATAAACGTAGCCATAAACCCTAAACCCCACATACGCTCCAACTGCTACACCCTGCTTACCTATCCAGCTACTAAGAGGGTGAAGCCCAGCCTGAGAGGATGATCATGCGAAAGGCCCGTGCCAGCTTTCCCAGCCGCAGCCTTTGGAGGGCGTAGGTTTTTTTTTTTTTTTTTTGGGGGGGGGGGGGGTGTTTTCTTCACGTTTTGGGGGGTTCTGGAGGGGGGTTTTTAAGGTTTTGGGTATGGGGCGTAGGGTTTGGGGTTTATAAGCAAAGAATAATCTTGGGTAGTGTTTTGTGGAGTTCGGGTGTAGAGGTTGAAAGAGGTCTCTGTGATTAGAGCTGTCTGTCAGTTCGCGATCATTCGGGGCTTGGGGTTTACGGTAGTTGCTCTGAATGCCTGCTGCCCAAAACCAGAGAGGAGGTTCGCTTTTTCTAGTCAAGACTCCCCTGTTAAAGTGACTCTTCTCCCAATGGTCAATGCTGGAACGCTAAACCCTAAATCTACACCATGGACCTCTAGAAGAACAAGGGAAGACCAAACTTCGCCCTGTACGCCGCGAAAGCCGTGATTTTTTTTGGGGGTGGGGAGGGCAGCTGTCCGTCCGCTAATTCTTTTGAAGGGGGGAGTGGGGCCTCTAAACTCAATCCTGGCCTAAGGCCCTAAAACCTACATTCTGTATAGAGGTCCAGCCGCAATCTCAGAAAGATCGGGTCCAAAGGCAGCGAGGACCTCGGCCACATTTAGGTCCTCAAAGGGGCCTAAACCCAAACTCCCGGTCAGCCTGCATGAAGGGAGTGAGCTTTTTGCAACATGCCTCAGGGTTTGGGGTGATACTAAGAAATGCACTCTAAAGAAGACAAGCGTCGTCAGGGAGCCGCGTGGTTTACGGTTGGGCAACCCCTATGTAGAGAATTGCCCATGTCAGTAAACTAGAGTTCCCATGTCCGTCTCGTTCTTGTAGTCAGGAGACTGAGCATTGGCCGTGGCTCTACCTAGAACAACCTTTCAAAACTTCATAAACAGGAAACATACCAATAATTAAGACACTAAACCCTAAATCCTAAACTAAACCTTCATCCCCCCTTCCATTGCCAACGCCGCCCCGCAGCGTGTCCAGCACCAGAGTGCCGATCGTCAGCGTCACCACAATGAAATCAATCCTGTTTTTTAGGGGGCTTAGCTCGTCGCTTTTGGCTTCGGGCTGGGGTTTGGGGTCAACTAGGGTGTTGAAGGTGTCAGGCTCTCGAGATATGACACGCCGACAAGGACAAACAATGCTTTTGAGAACTGCCCATTTAAGTCTTCAGGCTTTTTCAGCCAGGGAGCGCGTGCTGAACGGGATGGCAGGTCCGGAGAAGCTTCCAACCGTGAGGTTTTAGCTTATTAAGATCGGGTTTCGGGCTGAAGTCTACTTACAAGATGGCTTTAGGGTTGGTTTTGAGGGTTTAAGGCCTATTTACACTATAACTTTAGGGTTGTGGGGTTTAAGGTTTGCATTAACTCTGGCTTTAGGGTTGTGGGGTGGAAAGTTTAGAGTTGACAGGGCTTAGGGTTTAGGGCGCTGTCGGGTTGAGCTGGGTGTTGGGATTGGGAGGTATGCCTTACCTGCCACCGATCTCGCCGGCAATCCTGTATCTGCTGCAAGGTCCAAACTCAAACCGTGCACCACGGAGGGGCTCCTGCAACCTAACCTCCTTGCGATGCCGAACCCCTAAACCCTACACCCTACACCCGCAAGCCATCAGCAAAGCTGGCATCTGTCCAGTTCATCGCGCTCTTCCAGAAGGAGCAGTGGAGGCAAATGATGCGAACGAACCTCAGTTGGCTTAGGGCTTATATAAGGGTTGACTTGTGGATACAGAGGGAAGCACTTAGGCCCTGAATCCTGCAACCCGAAACCACTCCTGTAGGCACCTAAAGCAGTGACGGTCACCCCGAAAACCCTAAATGCCCTACAGGCCCTAAAGTCCTGAAACCCTGACGGCCCAAAACCCTCAAACGCCCCAAAGTAAACCCGAAACAGGCCTGGGCAAGCGGGAGGAGTTTGTTGCAGGAGGGGGGGTTCGTGGAATAGGTGACTGCAGGCACAAGGGCCGTTGGGTGTTTAGGCTCCACAACAGAACCTGAGCCCGGATCCTAAAGCCATGGGTGTAGGATTTAGGGTTTAGGGCTGAAGCCCGTCAAAACTGAGGCCCCTAAAACTGCTGGAGCTAAAACCATCAAGCTCCACGGCCGAACTTCGCGGAGAGAACTCAAAACCTAAACCCTCCCCTAGAACCGGGTGGTGGGGGGTGGGGGTGGAGCACCGACCAGGTTCCCAAGTCACCTGGGAACAACAAAAAGGGAAAGCCTTCCTGGGTGCAGTTTACGGGGTTAGGGCTTGGGGTTTTGGAAACTCGGGATGCACCAGGGAAAACGCACAATACAGAAAAAAAAGAGTGCCATCGGCGGACTATGCTTGTCAAAGGTTGTGTCGGGGACGAGTCTGCCAAGCCAAGCGACACATCCAAGGAGAAGATAATCTGAGCACACATGGTCAGTGCTTGAACATACCGTCACGTTCTGGTTCCCCACTATTGGATATGAGGGCCACATGTCCCTACCCCTAAACCCCAAAACCTTAAGCCTGAAATACCCTGTACCCTAAACCCTCCTTCCCCAAATACGCTGAACCCTAGACCTGACGCCCGTAGTTCCCTTCATTTCCTAAACCCCAAGTCCCCAAGCTTCCATATGAAAAAAACCTGATGGGCGCTCGGGCATTTGTAATCCCGTAAGGAATAAACAGGCTTGCCATGACCCATCCTCCGCTTGCTGTCGTCGGCAACGCATATCGTCAAACGTCTGTCTGTGCAACGGTGGACTGCAGCTGTACGCCGTAGCACCAGTTTACAGTGCCGACAACTGCGTTTGCAAACTGCAACAAGCTCCACCGCTGAACTGTCCAGTCTGCTGACACGAACGTCATGCAGCTGAGGCAAAGGAAAATGTTTCGTTGACGTCTGGGAAACCCTTTGCTAGTGCATCTGTCTGACAGAAACTGCCCAAACCGTCCAGTGCAATGATGTGCAAACATGGCAAACCAAAAAGCAAACCTATCCGATCTTCCGGCATGCATGAAAATTGCAGCACTGTCTCTCTGCATGACGCCACCCCCCCTCCCCTCCACTCACAAGGAAGCCCTTAGCCATGGCGTGCTAGACACCTGGGTTGTATGCTTGAGCGATGAAGATTGCAAGCAGCAGAAAGCACTAGTGACCCTACTTGTTGCAGCCCATGGGGCCGTGAAGATGTGCTCAATGAACTGCAGCGCCTGCTAGTGTTTAGGGACCCAAATTTGAGGGTTGAGGCTTTGTCCCCTAAACCTAAAACCCTAGACCCTAGACCCTAAGACAGCTTAGGGGCCTGCCTAGGTCCTTTCTCAGAAGCTCCTAAAGTTCTTCGGAGCCATAAAAAACAAGCATGGTTTTGCATACGCGAGCTGACACACTTATGGGCACTACTGGGGATCCTAGTTGAGAATGTGCTAGATTCCCTACCAAAAACTCCAAACCCAACCCGATTCGTAAGCCACATGAAAAGAGCCGCAACATCACAAAACAGTTAGAGGTCTTGCCATGCGTTTAGGATTAAGGGTTTATGGTTTAGGCCATCGTGTGACATGCGACCCACGCAGCTTCAATTCATGGAAGAATCGACACTAGGGTGGATTTGGGGCTGTCTGCAACCACGATTTCAAGAGGGTTAGGTTTTTGGGGTGATGAAACTTATGTAGGATTAGAATGCCATGGAACAATACCAGCCCCAGAACAAAATTTGTTTGCTACAGTGGCGTCGATAGGACGAAGAGCCAGGGTGAAATTCTGGCTCAGGCCCTAAGCCCTGAACCCCAAGCCCTCTCCTAGATTTCTCAAAGAGCTGCAGGGTGTTAAGGGCTTTGGCCCGTAGCCGGCCTAAACATATCATCCGAGGTCAGCCTTGAGGTTTTAGGGTTTTTTGGGTTGTAGGTAACTTGATTAAGGATAACATGGGCTAGAACTACAGCTGTTCTAGTAATTCCGAAACCTCTAAACTTAAACCCCAAACCCCAAACCCTAAATGCTTGACCTCAAAACCTTCTTCATCCTTAAACCCGAACCCTCGCAAAAAAACCCAAGCCTCAAAACCTGAAGCCGCAACCCTGCCAAGGCCTCAAGGATGCTTGGCCAGCGGCTGTCGTTTGGGTTCTTCGTCGGGTAGTAGTCAATATCGTAACCTCTGGCTGGCATTTCTTTGCGGTTTTAGTAGGGAGGGGCTGTCGGGTCTAGAGCCTCAGGTCCTTGGTCTTATTTTTGTTTAGGGCATAAGTTCAAGGGTCTGGAACCAGGGGATGCATCCGCTGCAGGACCGTGTCGCGTGCTCAGGCTAAGGCTTAGGGTTTAGGGTTTCGGGTTAGGAATTCGGGGCGACTGTACCAAAATGAAAACGGACGTTTGACCCCTTCGGAAGCCGCTGCCGAGAGGCCAATCCGTGACCCCTCCATCTGAAGCTGCACAGCCAGAAACAGCACGTTTGCGACGAGGACACACGAAATGATCCTGCAGCTCGGGAAACTTTGTTTCTTAGCCATCTGAGACTTGGGCAAGGCATAGCAAAACCTTTGCTGGTTTTGGATATGGTGCAACCTAATGCCCTGACAGACAGACATCACAAGCAACAAAAAAAAGCTGGATGTGCGTTGCTCCTCACTACTGTTGCGTGGAAGACGATGGGTTCCGGCCGTGAGCTTCAAAAGGTCATGCAGCTCACACATATCTAACGTAGGGTCTGGGGTGCGGCGCTTTCAGGCCAAGTGTCGCGTCGAAGTAGTTGGATTGCAGGAACTGCCTCCCAGCCCAGGCAGAGGCGTGGGTCTACAACAGGGTGTGTGATCCTCAGGTTTCGGTCCAGCCCCTATGACCTAGTTTGAATGGCTCGCGAACAAACCATACACCCTAAACCCTGAGCCACGAAAAAAATGGTTCGTAGTAGGGAATTCGGGATTTCGATACTTGATGTGCTTGATCTAAAGTGTGGGCCCTTTCTAGCACACCAAACTCGATACTGCTAGACTATATAGACCCACACAGGGCTTACAATCTAGACCATCTCATCTTACAGGAGCCTTCAGTAACGAGTTTCCCAGATCTTTAAGGCGTGCCTACGGGAAGTGCTTCCCAAGCTACCTTCTAAGAGGCAGCATAAAAGTGCAAAACCACCTTTAGGGTTTAGGGTTTAGGGTGTAGGAAAAACAGAACCGCAACTAACTCCAAACCCAGATCCTGACATGGCCTCAAGCAAACACTAGGCCACTAGGCCCTGCACACTATCTGGCACCCAAAATACTCATTCCGCCGACCACGGATCAGTGTTAGGCAAGCCTTTGTTGTTTTCGCTCCCACCAAGCTACGCCCGCCACCATCTTTCAGCTATCCCCTCGAGCCTGCCTGGCCCGCTCTTTTAGTACGCCGCGCCAAGACGACCGCCAAGACGACCCGAAAAAACGAGGTTTCATGCCCCTGGGGCGGCTCTCCACCCGATAACTAAGGAGAGAGACGTCCACAGCCGTGGGAAATGAAGAAAAACGCGTGTTTGGGATCCGTTTACGGTTCCGGACCCACCCGCGTTGATGCACCAACATTGTGAGAATCAGCGGGGTGGGTCCGAAGCCTCAAAAGCAGGGAGGGAAACAAAGGATGAAACAAAGGAAAGAAGGAAGCAATGAAGGAAAGAAAGAAGGGTCTAGGGCTTCGGCAGAAAAGAGAAAAATGTGAGAATGAGACTGTCTTCTCTCTACTCTTCTCTCTTCTCTCTCTGCTCTCACTTCTCTCTCTCTCTCTCTCTTCTCTCCGTATGCGGTGCTCCTTGATGCTTCAGATGCCAAGGTTTAAGGTGCCCTGGCGCTGGGCCTCAAAAACGGGCAGGGGCAGCCCTGAGCCCGGCGCGAACCCGTGGAGTCCCTAAAGAGCCCATGTGGAGCTTGCAAACCTTTGCTTTTAGCAATAGGGGGGGGGGGGGGGGGGCTCGCCGGGAAAACGTTCGATTTTCGCACGCGCCTTAGGAGGGATGGCGGGTTGTTGGTGTCCCGACGACACACAAATCATCATGAGCACCTTCGCCGCGCACGGCTCCCTAGGGGTGGCCTTTGGGGCCGCGGGGTGTGGACAAAATTGACTCTCACGCCACAGCGGCGCGCATCATGAGCATCAGCGGCTCGGGTCCCGGGGCCGGGGCGCGCATCGACCGAGGAGGGTTTGTTGTCCTTGGTGCTTGGGGGGGGGCGGGGGGGAGCTGGTGCGAGAAGGTGGCTTTCAGGGTTTGTTCCCTTAAGATCTCATTTTGGGAATTCTGCACTATTGTTGCGGTTTAGGGTTTAGGGGTTCAGGGCTTGGGTCGACTACAGGAAAGTAAGCACCAATTCCAGCACCTCGGGCACAATCAGGGTTGTCCTCAGCCCAAGCTAGCCCTGAAGCCCCGATAGGGTGTTGGGCTTGAGGGTCTGTAGGGCGTTCGCAACCCTGAACCCTGCCGGTGCCAACGTCCCGGTGCCTGAGCTTGTGCATCAGTGTCGCTTTCTCCTCTCATTGGGTGTTAAGGTTTAGGGTTCCTTGGGACAGGCTTGGAGACGAGACTACAACTAAGGTAAAAATATATGATGCATATATATATATATATGTTATATATATATATATATATCTCTCTCTCTCACCACATTCCTAACCCCCTCCCTCACCCCCAATGCCATGGCTTGGGCTTCGGGTTTAGGACTTGCTGGACCTAGGGCTTAGGTTTACACGAAGGGAAGGGCTTAGCCTCAATCCCCTTCACTTACAAATAAGGCTCTACCTTCTTAAGGCAGACATCAAACCTTCACGTCGAAACAGAATTTACAAGTCCCCCCCCCGGGCCCCTTCGGCCCTTCCCCTCGCCGGGGCGCCTCCGCTTCAGCGTCGGCCGTGTCTGTGTTCAACTTCTCGCCTAAGCCTCATGTTTTTGGCTCAGGGTTCTAGGGTTTTGGGGCCCAGCTCTAAACAACACACACGAAACCCATTGACACGTTGTTGCTGCTGAAGGTCTCTTGGCCGTATGGGTGGCGAGGTCCATGGGCTGAAGAGGCTCTTGCCAGTCACCACCTGAAAGTGAGGCTTGACCGTCGCATCTGAAGTTTGGGGTTTGGGGTTGGACGGTTGGGGGTTTAGGGCTTAGGAGTTTAGGCTTTGGGGCTTAGGGTAGTATCTTCAGTATCTTCAATGTCGGAGGGGCTTGAAAGAGCATACTCCATAATAAGGATTACTGTACTTGTTGGGGGAGGTATATTAGAAACAACCGGTTTGGGTAAAATACACATGTCGAGACGATCAGAATCTACAGTATCGGGAGAACCGATAGCATCCGTAGTATCTAGGGTTGAGGGCCGACCTTAAAATCTAGGCGCCTAGTCGTACGGCTTTGGGAGAACCTGGACACCTGAAAGGGGCTTAGGTTTCAGGATGCCTTCCAGGCAAGCCCTATACGAGGCTTGGGGCTTAGGGCTATCGTTTACCTCCGCGGCGCTGTTTAGAAGCTTGGAAGTGGACCGGCATCTGGGGGAGCCTGAATGTCTTTTAGGGTTTAGGGTTGGGTTCAGGCTTTGGGGTTTAGGCTTTATAGGGTTTCGGGTTTTTAGGGTTTAAGGACTGTCTATGCTGGGTTGAGCACACGTCATTGATCAACCCGCCCTGTGTAGTTTCAGCATGTATGCGAAGCTACACGCCCCAGAAATGCGAAAAACTCCAGCTACCCCATCCACTCCTGAAGCACCGACAGGGAAGCGCGTAGCAACATCGTTTGGGGTTTAAAGGCACAGGGTCTGGGTTTAGGGTTCAGGGATCAGGGAGTAAGGCTTCAGGAGCATGCTCGGCGTTGGTGTTATGTAGCTCTTTGGGAGACTGGAACCCCATAACCTTGCTTATGCCGGGGTTCAAGGCGTTAGAGACCCCAACCCCTAAACCCGGACCGTCACCTGCCCCAAATCCGACCTGTACTCACCGAACTCGTAGGCGACGCTGGCGCTGCCTCACTTGCCCAAAGCCCTAGACCTAAACCTTAACTGCATTTTGGATTCCGAGAAGTATCTTTCTCTTCGATGCCGGTGTGTGGTTTGGGGGTTAAGATTGGGCTTTAGGGTTTCTGACCTGCTAGGGGATGTAAGGTACCTAGCTCCGAGTCAGTTTAGAGTCTAGGGCCAGAGCTCCAAAGCTTATTCTAGATGTTGTAATCTACCATCATTCTTCCTGTTATCACGATGATTTCGAGTATTACTACTTTGGAATGATTACTAACTATTATGGCGATTACTAGATTACTACACCAATATTCAAGCTTTGTTTTTGCAGGGAAGGGGTGGGCAGGGCTTGAGAGTTAAGGAGTTGGCGGCTGAAGTTTACGGGGGCCTCTGCACTTTCAATTGGGAGGTACTGTGGCGACTCCGGGGTCCTCCCAGTCCCCCAAAAAGCCTCAATTCTTGCTGGTTCTGAGGGAATGAGGCAGTCATTAGGTCTGGAATCAAGGGTTGATTATAAGGGAACCGAAAAGGTACCTGCGAAACAACTCCCCAGAACTCGAGTTCAACCGCGACTTCCTGCGACTAGCGGAGGAAGGGTGTAGGGTTGAGTGTAGGGTTGAGGGTTGAAGGGGTTCCAGGCTTTGAGTGTCTGGCGTCTAAGATGGAAGGTGGCACCCTGTCCTCTGGGCACCCGGACGGGTTTTCGACTGGAGCGCTGACTCGGTGACTTTGTCATTCGGTCCTGTAGACGGGCCTGGCCAAAAGTGGTCCAAGTACCCTAATATTGACCCCTGTCCCAGACAGACACACACACACACACAAACACACACACACACACACACACACAGAGACAGACACACATACACAGACACACAGACACACAGACACACAGACACACAGACACACAGACACACAGACACACAGACACACAGACACACAGACACACAGACACACAGACACACAGACAGAGACACAGACACAGACAGAGACACACAGACACAGACACAGACACAGACACACAGACACAGACACACAGACACACAGACACACAGACACACAGACACACAGACACACAGACACACAGACACACAGACACACACACAGACACACAGACACACAGACACACAGACACACAGACACACAGACACACAGACACACAGACACACAGACACACACACACACACACAGACACACACAGACACACACAGACACACAGACACAGACACGCACAGACACACACAGAGACACACAGAGACACACAGAGACACACAGAGCCACACAGAGACACAGACAGAGACACAGACAGAGACACAGACAGACACACAGACAGACACACAGACAGACACACACACACACACACACGCTCAAAACAAACAACAAAAAACAACAACAGGGTATAGTCTCAGTCTCTAGTATATCATCACTCTGCCCCCCCCCCCCTCAAAAAGAATTGGGGCTAAGCAGATACAAGGGGGAAGGAAACTGGGTTGGTGTTCGCCGCTGCACGGATCAGGGCATTGTGAGGTTTGTGGGCGGTTTGGAGACCTAACCCTAAACTAGGGTTGTTTATGGGCTTTGACGGGTTCAGTGTATTTCCGAGAGTTTGCAAAGGAAACTGGGGTGGCTTTGGGGGCCTTTAAGTCCTGTTGGTTGAAAGCCGGGCTTTTGGGCTTAAGATCCCTAACCCCTAAGCGTGTTCAGGGCTTCAAGAACCATGCGTGAACAGCCCGTTTAAGGTTGGGCTGCCCCCAACGCCACCCTTTCAAGACCCTGCCTGAGCCAGCTCTCGGCTATGGAGGCTCACCAAGTTGGTGATGAGGTTCTGAAACTCCTGTCGGAAAGAGCTTTCAAGGGAAGCAGGCACCGTCCAGTGGATATAGAGGGACTTGAGGTGCCTACTCAACATTCCAAACTTCCCTGACAAGGACACCTTAGGTCCAACCCCTCGCCCGAAACCCCAAACCCTTTCTCGGGCCCAAGCCCTAAGCCAAGGATTCAGGGTTTGGGTTCAGGCAAAGTCTACGCAGTGCTTGTGTATTTCTGGCGCCTTTCCGAAGAAATGGGCATTTCATGATCTTCCATCTCTTTTGTTGTCACCTTTCCTTGCATCGGTGGACCTTAAGTGTGCCAAAAGTGTCCTGCATGGCAGCTGCCATCCTACAAAGAACGCCCCAAACGCTCTTCCCTTGCAGTTGCCCTTCGCAACTGTTTTTGGGCTGCACCTCGGAAGGCTTCGTATTTCCTTCATTGTGCGAGACTCGTTCATCGACTCCGCGTTGCGTCCGTTCGTGCCCTTGAAGTCACGCTAGCAGATCTGTCACCTGATCGACATGTGGCTTCCCAAGGGCCTGTCGGAGGTGGTCCATCAAGGCGCTCACCCCGCCAGGCGGGAAGGCCTTCTTGGTTCGGGACACTTCCCCGTGGACGGAACGCCCCGCTACCATGAAAGCGTCCGCGAGAGGTAGCGCTCGACGTCTGAGGTTGGGGTTGTTGAAAGCCCAGTGGGGCTGATACAGTGGCACGGTGCAGTGCTAACGGCAGTCCCACACGATCCCCTTGCGAACGCAGCGGTTGAAGAGCTCAGAGTTCAAAGCACTTGCAGGGGTGTAGGGCTTAGGCCAATGACCTCAATTCCGAAATGTGTTTCGGTTGTGGGACTTTCAGGAAATCCCACCACCAGCTCCTCGGACAAGGGGCCCTCCATCTCTTCACCTTTGGGTTTTGGGAACAAGCGTTCTTTGAGCGTACCTAGACCTAGACATGCAGAGAGAAAATGGCTGTATGGCGATGCGTTGAAACATCGGCTACTCCAGGCGCCCGAAACCCTGCACGAATAACCCTTCTGTTACTCGGGGGGCTGAGGGACTTCATTCTGAGAACTTTTTGAGGGCGCGGCACAGCTGTAAGGTTGTTTCGTTTGGGGTTTTGGGCTTCGTCCGGTCTACTGGCTGGTCCTGACCTTGCATTGCTTCGGGGAGTCGGGATACTGCTAGTTTGTTAGGAAGCGGGGTTTAGGGTCTCAGGTTACGATTCCGACCCCCCACGCAATCACTTTCCCGAGGAGAGCCGCACTTGATCTCCGCATTCCAATCGCCCACAATGGTTGCAGGCCTTCTCCGGCTCACTTTGCGGTTGGAGCTCAGGAGGCGAATCCTAAAACCCTAATGGACTCTGGTTTAGGGCATCCTTCAAGGTTCATGGGTTCATGGCAGTTCGAAGTCGGGCTACAAGTACCCTGTCTACGGCACTTGTGTCGTTACTTGCAACTATGCACGAGCCTCCGAGTCGGGCCTAGGAGGCTGTCCTACCGGAATAGGGGTCCTACTTGGCATCCCAGATTTAGAGCAAGCCTGTCACACGTCGGGCCTTTGGGTGCATTGCTTTGAAAGCTTGCAAAGGGTTGTGGGGGTTAGGGAGCCAGTTTGGAGCCTTAAACCCTGAACTCTGAACTCTAAACACCGAACCCTAAGCGCCAAGCCTACTAATCCCCAAGCATTGAATGACCCCAGCTCGACGAGCGCACCGGCCTGGACTCATCGTTGCCTGGGCTATGCGGCTTTGTCTTGTGTTTATGGGGTCTAAGGGTGTAGGACACTAGAAACGCTTCGTAGGGGTCCAGATCACCGCGTGTGCACCTGTTTGGGAGTGTCAGCCCTAAACCTCAAGGCACCCTAGAGCCCGTCAAGCCCTCGAGATCCTAAACCCTCTACTTGGAGGTTCGTGGGGCGGGTTCGTTCAAGTAGGATAACTGCAGAGAAACCTCTACACCAATATGTATATAATCCTCAAAACCCCAAAACCCTAGACCCCTAAACTCCGACCGAAGCCCTCACCCCCAAATGCCTAAGCCCTTAAACCTCCCTAAGCCCCTGAACCCCTGTATCCGAAGTATAACCCTATGAACCCCAAGGCCAAAAACGCATCATATAGCCGCCTGAGCCCCAACCCCACAAACACCAAGCGGCCCCCTCCAAACTCAGGCTTCCATCGGGGACGCGGGCCCGGGATGGATGGGCCCGCCTTTCAGTGGAGAGGCTCAAGGGGAATCAGGGGACTTAGGCGGGGGTTGGGATTGCGGGGTTTTTGAGGGCTTAGGGTTTAGGGCTCGGGGGGGGTAAGGGTTTAAAAGTTTTGGGAGGTTTGCATGGTCGTCTATGGGATTTAGGGTTGAGGGCTTCAGGGGCTTCAGAGATTTCTATTTTTTTTGTTTGGGGGGCGGGGTGGTGTCTTTGAGGGCCTCGCGCGAAGGCTACACCCAGAAGCCTAAACCCTTGAAGGCTTTCGAACGACTCGAGAGAGGGAGGTGGCTCAGAGAAAAGGAAGCATATCAAGCCTTTATAAGGCACATGCCCTTTGTCAATGTTTAATGTCAGGAAGAGATAAGGAGTAGCCTTCCACCCTAATCTCAAATAAGCTCCCGTGACATTGACTGGGAGCCTCCGCGGCCCTGACCCTGCAGCCCTGGAGCCTCGCGTGTTTACCTACAGCATCCAATGTACCCTTGCAAAAGCACCTTTAAAGAAAGGAACAGTGTCGGCAGCCAATCGTTCCGTTGTGAATTGGCGTTGGCAGTTTGTATGTAAGGTCTTGCCAGAAATGGAATTACAAGGATCATAGTACCGGTATCCGGGCCACCTCTGTCATGCCTCACCAGACGGCGCACCAGCTCGTGTAACGTCGCCACTGTAAGGATATGAAAGGTGGATACACTGAGAGTACCGGCCCTGAACCCTATAAACTGACTCCAAAATACTTTGAGTTATTGTGGAATTCGCACTGATCATTTAAGAACATGCCCAGTGGCGTCAGAGCCAAGACGCATCACCAGTGCAGGCATCTTGTTTAGGATTGAAACTGGATTGAAGTTTCAGGCTTTAGTGCCGCATGAACTGGGGCTGAGGGCTGCAGGACTTCGGCTCTTGATTGGAACCTTGTAAGCCCGACTCAAGGTCCCGAACACCACAGCAAAAGGCCCTTGAAATGCTTCATTGATACTGCAACTCGGAGAGCGGCAGTGCTGGACGGAAGCTCCTCACGAAGAAGATGCATAACGCAAGACCAGCAAAGTAGTCGGGGAACGCGTACGGCTGGAACAAACGGAACAAGCGAGAAACTGGGCGTGCACCATGCGCACCTGATTTCCCTGAACCCATCAAACCTACCGCGAACGTCAATGCATGTGCGCTGCTAAGGCTATGATTGCTAATCCATTGCTAGAACTGATCCGGCTAGTCCCTTTACTCTCGCCTTCGGGCGTTAAGGCTTCAAAAAGGCAGGGGCTTTTAGGGTTTAAGCTTGAGGGGTCAAGGGCCGTTGAGCCCCAAGCGGGTTTGGCGCTTTGGGTGGGGTCTTGACCTGAGGTTGGACATGGGATTTCACTCGTAAGGCTCTCAAATGGCAGGCTTGTGACTGCGCTCCACTGTTCTCTGTTCGGCAAACGGTCAGTGTCCAGCAATTGCTGCGCTGTCCTGTGCACGCGCACTGGGGTCTGTCTGCTGAACTAGACCCACTCTAAAATGGGTGAGTAATGGTGTGATGGTGTGTGTCTGTGTGTGCGAGATGGTGTGAGCGTGGGTTTGGGTGTGTGGGCGTGTGGGCATGTCAGCGTGGGCGTGTGGGCGCTTGTGCGTGTGTACCCAGCACGGGGCGTGCGCGTGGGCGCATGTGCGCGTGGGCGCATGTGCGTGCGTGCACGGGTGCGCGTCTGCGCGTTTGCACATGTCATGTGCGCATGTGAGCGTGCGCATGTGCGCATGTGAGCGTGCTGGCGCGGTCGCAGGGCCGGTCGCGGGCGCGGGCGCGGGCGCAGGCTTTCTGTGTGTGCCTCTGTGTCTGTGTGTGTGTGTGTGTGCGCGTGCACGTGTGCGTGTGCGTGTGCGTGTGCGCGTGCGCGTGCGCGTGCGCGTGCGCGTGCGCGTGCCGTGCGCGTGCGGGTGGGGGTGTGGGTGTGGGTGTGGGTGTGGGTGTGGGTGTGTGTGTGTGTGTGTGTGTGTGTGTGTGTGTGTGTGTGCGTGTGGGGGCGTGTGCGTGTGTGCGTGTGTGTGTGTTTGTGCGTGTGTGCGTGTGTGCGTGTGCGTGTGTGTGCTTGTGTGCTGTGTGCGTGTGTGCGTGTGTGCGTTGTCGTTTGGTGCGTGTGTGCGTTTGTGCGTGTGTGCTTGTGTGCGTGTGTGCTGTTTGCGTGTGTCGGTGTGCGTGGGTGTCTGGGTGCGTGGGTGCGTGCGCGTGCGTGCTGCGTGCTGTGCGTGCGGTGCGTGCGTGGTGCTTGGGTGCGTGGTGCGTGGTGGTGGCGTGGGGCGTGGGTCGTGGGTGCGTGTTGCTTGGGGTGCGTGCGTGCGGTGCGTGCGTGCGTGTGTGCGTGTGCTGTGTGTGTGTGTGTGTGGTGTGTTTTTGTAAGTGTAAATATGTGTGGTAAGTGTGTGGTGTAGGGTGTAAGTGTGTAGTGTGTGTGTGTGTGGAAGTGTGTGTGTGTAAGTGTGTGTTAAGTGTGTGGTAAGTGTGGTTGGCTGGTGTGTGAGTGTGTGTGTGTGTGTCTGTGTCTGTGTCTGTGTCTGTGTCTGTGCTGTGTCTGTGTCTGTGTCTGTGTCTGTGTCTGTGTCTGTGTCTGTGTCTGTGTCTGTGTCTGTGTCTGTGTCTGTGTCTGTGTCTGTGTCTGTGTCGGTGTCTGTGTCTGTGTCTGTGTCTGTGTCTGTGTCTGTGTCTGTGTCTGTGTCTGTGTCTGTGTCTGTGTCTGTGTCTGTGTCTGTGTCTGTGTCTGTGTCTGTGTCTGTGTCTGTGTCTGTGTCTGTGTCTGTGTCTGTGTCTGTGTCTGTGTCTGTGTCTGTGTCTGTGTCT